AGAGAAGTTGATCATAGTTTGTAAAGTACTTACAACATCAAGCATTTAACAAGAGTAGTAGCGAGCACATCAAAGTTGACGAAGAGATGAAAGTCATCTATTCCACACTAATGGTACCCTGATCATGACAGAAATTTTTTCTGTCATAGTGGACTTGCATAATCTTATGACCTTCTGACATTGCCTCCATGCAATATTATGTAACCTGCGGCAACTGTAACTGCACTCCTCAAAGTATTTGCGAACAAGAAATGGTTGCCCATGGACGTACTTGTGTGCTTCAAGTACGTTTGCTTTATTATTAGAAAGTATCATGTCCAATACTTCATTAGGCAAGCTGTCATAACCAGTATTATTACTCGCAGGTTCAAGCAACTTGCTAGTAATTTGGTTCTGGGCGAAGAGCCTTTTTAGTAAGAGGCTATCATTCTCATCCTTACTCGGTTTCGGGGGCCGCTTCCTCGCGGATATGACCGTCCCCACTTTCTTCTTGGTACTTGAAGAACTTCTTGTGCAAGGTCTGGATGAATGAATGGACTGCTGAGCAGACGGTGAAGCTACGACGGACTGCTGAGCAGACGGTGTAGCTATGCCAGACTATTGAGCTGGTGGTGTTGTGATGGACTGTTGGCCTGTAGGAGTAGAGGCATCGGACTGCTGACCAGGCGTTGAAGCTATGTTGGACTTTTGCGCAGGTGGTGCCAACGCGTCGCTGTGTCGAGAAGGCTATGCCAATGTGTTAGTTAGCTGAGGAGATAGTGCCGACGCCTCCATATGTTGATCACGCGGCTGCGAATAGGTAGAGTGGTGAGCACGCGGTTCCGGACCTTCGGACTGCTAAGCAGGCGGTTCCAAACAGTCTGACTGCTGAGCAGGCGGTTTTGAAGCATCAGACTGCTTAGCAATCCGTTCCACCGGGTTGGTCTGCTGAGCATGCGGTGCCGCTGTGTCTCCCCCTGCTGCTTCATAGGTCGGCATTTGAAACGGTGGTGCGTCTTCAGCAGTTGTAGGCCTTGCCACATGCTGCTCAGAAGCAGACGATGACATGGCCTGTACGGCAGGAATTCGGGCGGGCTGATCACAGGTTGATGCATCAGCTGTCGGATTACGATTATTAGGTTCCTCGGGGGAAGCACGCAAGAGCTGCTGTGGCGAGGAGAGAGTCACCGGTTGAAGGGCGACATTGGTTAATCTTGGCGGGGCTTGAGGGACCTCATCCATGAAGTCTTCCAAGGTCCTTTGCTCATCATAGTCCCATAGGACATTCTTCACAGCAAATTCATTGACTCCAGGCATTACTTCAGTCACATAGCACTTCACACGGCCCGGCTTCAATGGCACGTTGTCCAACAAGAGGCCCCAATCCGAGAGAAACATAGCATGGGTTTCCAAAGCAAGTACTCAAAATAAGAATGATGTCCAAGCTTCCATTGCAAGGAGTGCGACAAAAGGTGAAGAAGGAAAAACGTGAAAACTATGAATGACAAAACCGAAGGTTTCAACATTGTCGGTCCACACATTATCCACATTCTCCAACTATGTTGTTGATGCCTATGCCATGAAAATCATCCTAAGGTATGATTGGTTACCTCCCATGGGCTTATAACGGTCCATGGATGCAATATAACTTCTTACATCATGCAAGGTTATTACCACATCATCATACAGACGATTAGCGACACTTTTTGCTAATATAAATGGCCGACAAACAATTATCACCCTGAGAGTAAAGGCTGATATATACTGTCCTAAGCACATACAAATGACCGATAGAGTTTTGACATCGTCCTTAGAGCAAACACGGTACAAGTTATTTTTCGACACACTAGCTTTGCCGAAAAATAGGGGGGCATGTGTTGACGCTCAAAAGTGGCAATCATAAAAACAGCTCAAGTTATGTCAAGATTATTTCAAACTTATGACTAAAAGTCACCTTCGGATGGCTCTCTTCGAGAAGATCAAGATGGACACGAAGATGGTCCAAAACAGAGCTCGGATGCAAAAGTTATGACAATTTCAAAGATGCTCGTGTTGACATCAGATCACAAAATGGCATGAAACATAATTAATATGGCCTCAGATGTACAAGTGCTCAACATCAAAGTTGTTCATCTCGTCGAAACAATCAATTTTGAATAAAAGTCCAAGGTCGTATGCAAGTTGTAGGGCCAAAACAGTGTCAGAGACAAAAGCTGCAGAGTCACTTCAGACGGGCGGAGTGGATTTGACTCGATGAGACCGGATGGATGTCAGAAAATTTGACATGAAGCACCCGGTTCACTCAGTGAGACCAAGTGAAACCACTCATAAATTTCGAGTGGAATACAAAAGAGTACAAAGAGTTGGCAACGTTCACTCAGTGAGACTGAATCAAACCACTCGGAGGCTCCGAGTACAGCCCGGAAATTGCCAAAGATTCATGTCCAAGTTAGGTTAGGGTTTTTGACGTTTTGGATGGAATTTTTAGTCATTTTCTTGTACGGGAAGTCCAACCGCCTCATAAATAGATGAGAGATGACGACCGATTGAACAACACACAATCAACAAACACATCTATCACTTTTTATCTTTTCCTTCTCCCTTGTTCTTCTTCTTCTCGTTATTCATTTGTTCTTCGAGTTGGAGGTTAGCGATCCACGAGGCCCTAGGGGAGATTAGGTCGACCTAGGGCAACCCATACCCGCACCTCAGGAGCTCCGGATCCAGACACCAGACCAACCACTACCCTGCGCCAACGCGGACATGAGGCCCCCACGCCATCTCACCACGACACCGCGAAGTGAGGACAGTGTGGCGAAGAATCAGAGCCAGGACTAGGGCATCAACATCGTCGGCACGCAGGAGGGCCCCACCTCCACCGTCCGCGACGGTAGTCGTCCGAACGCAATAGCAGGAGCACACCAGGCCCGTGGTCGCACAGGCCTGGCCGAGCCCTCGTGGGCCCGTAAAGCTCCAGCCTTCGCGCTGCTGCCGGCACGCCGTCGACGCCGATGCCCCACATCCGAGCTGCTCCTCCTCCTCACCACGCCGCAGACAACGAGGCCATGTCGGGGAGCCGGCCCACTAGGACCCAGATGGGCCCCGCCGGGTCCAGATCTGGGCCGGGGTCGCGACGAGGCCACCCAGCACCACCACGTCACCCCGCCGCCAAGGAGCGGCGCCGACACCACGCCTGCCGCCGCCGCAGGGCAGCCGGACCACAGCCACGGCGAGCAGCACCGCCGCCGCCTCCCTTCCCCGGGAAGGGAGCACGCGCGCGCAGGAAAGGGAAGGCCCGCCGCCGCCAGAGCCACCCGGGCCAGCTCCGGGGGCGACCGCCGGCGGCGGCGAGAGGAAAAGAGGGAGGAGGGGGCCCGCAAAAGAGGGGCACGAGCTCCGCCCCGGCCACCTCCCGGGGAGGCGGCGCGAGGCGGGTCCGGACGGGGGAGAGGGGAGGGAGGAAGGAGGCGGAGGTGGGGCGCGGGGCCGGCGGCCGGCGGCGGCGGGAGGTGGGGAGGGGGAACCCTAGTCGCCTAGTCCCTATCCATGCATTTCATCTTCACAAAGTCTTCACGACCTTAAATGTTGTTTTTACAAGAGCAATTATAGAAGGACGAGCAAGAATTAGAAGCCAATGTTCTATTTTATGTTATTCATGCAACTTAATCATCTATCCATTTGATTCATTTACTCTCTATTGTCATGCAACTTAATCTGTATTGTCATCCGTAGCAACGCACTGGCATTTACTAGTGTTTCTTACAAATCTACAGCCAGGTCTTAATCTACAGAACCCTGCTATACGTACGATATTTCACATAAGAATTTTGTCCGACATAACAGATCCCGTGAGTAGGATTCAAATTGCAGCGGCCGCTGGATGTTGCACCGTATGAATATTGGACAAGGAATAGTCGTACATGCAGTAGTTTCGTACTCCCTCCGTTCCTAAATATTTGTCGTTTTAGATATTTCAACAAGTGACTACATACGGAGCAAAATGAGTGAACCTACACTTTAAAATATGTCTATATACATTTGTATGTGGTAGTCCATTTTAATTCTAAAAAAACAAATATTTAGGAACGGAGGGAGTATTACTCCCTCCATTCCAAAATATTTGTCTTACTCCCTCTGTTCCAAAATATTTGTCTTTCTAGACATTTCAAATAGCTACCACATACGGATGTATGTAGACATATTTTAAAGTGTAGATTCACTCATTTTGCTTCGTATGTAGTCACTTGTTGAAATATCTAGAAAGACAAATATTTAGGAACGAAGGGAGTATACAACTCTCTTCTCTTCTTTTTCATCTTCTCTCTCTTCCAACAATAAACTGATGTGTATTTGAGCTTGTAACGAGGTCGCCAGCCTGTCTGACGAATTGTTTTTCCGGAAGACAAAAGTAGCGCGTGTACCAAAGACTAAAAGTGCAATTAAGTTTTAATTGATGTCAGGAGAGTAATTAAGTATCCGGGGTACTACTATACTCGAGATCTCGACCCGGGAGGTGAACAAAGGATCCTCTGCCAAAGCTCTTGCATCTGAGCAGAAGAGCAAGGAGCAGCCATGGCCCAAGCCATTGTCCAAAGCTTATGCAGGAAGCTCAGATTGGTCATCGTTGTTGGAGATAAGGCCACCGTCGATTTGCAGGAAATAATGGAGGCGCTGGAGGCCATACATCCTCTGCTGGAGGACGCGGAGAGGCGGTGTCTCCGTTTTAACAATGGCCAGGAAGAGGGATTGCAGGAAACAACAGAGGCGCCTGAAGCCATACAACCGCTGCTGGAGGATGTCTCCCGAGAGGGATTGCAACAAATGGAGGTATGTACATGAGTACATCTACTTCGCCATCCTCAAACATTTTTTGATATTAAGCGCAGATCCGGCCATAGGTTACCAGATTCATAGGTCGCTAAATATGCAAACTTGACCTGCAGGGGAAGAAGGTGCGGGACTGGTTGAGGCGGGTCGTCAAGGCCGCCTATGACATCTTGGACGAGTTGCACGGCTCCACAATGACACCAGCTGCACCTGCGCGAAAGGTATGTCTATGTACACGAGTCTATTCATTTTTTTCGGACGTCCGAGTATTCCTTGGAATATAGCAAGCTAGCCTCAAGGTGTATGTACCTGCTAAACAATTAAGAACCGATTCCTTGCAGATGACCAAGATGATACTGCGTGCCAATGCGTCCGAGAAGAAGAATCTCATGGCTGGTAAGATAGAGAAGATAAAAGAAGAAGTCTGCAAACTACGGGTCGACATGGACGAATTCAATCTTATTTCATCTGATTCCGATGCAAGCATCGAGCCACCAGTTACTGATGTAATAGAGATTGAAGAACCAATTATCGTAGGAAGGGATAAACAAATACTGAGGATAATGGAAAGTATACCTGTGCAAGCAGGGCACTGCACCATCGTTCACATTTATGGCCAGGATGGCAGCGGCAAGACAACATTAGCACGAATGGTTTTCAACCATACCAGATTCAAAGATTACTCTAGGGTATGGATCCAATGCTCTGGGAATTTTCGCTTGCATGAGATGGGGAAGGCCATAATTTCTCAGGCATCAGGGGAAGAGATCAACGGTGATTCAAATGATGACATGGAGTATGTAAGGAAGCGCCTTGACCAGCTACTCGATAATGGTATTAAGGTACTTGTTGTTTTAGATAACACACAGCTATCATGGGATGATAGCGAAAAGTTGACGGATCTGTTAAGGGAAGGGAACAATCTTAGTGAGGTAATTGTGGTAGAAACGGATGGAGAATATGATGATGAGGAAGATTCAGAGATAGTATGGAGATTTGGTGACACAAGGGAAGTTAAGAGTGGTGCATTGAGTGATGACATGTGCTGGACAATAATCAAACAACGAAGTCGCTTTGAAGGTAGATTGTTTGACAAGCAAGGGTTGGAGCAGATTGGTGCAGAGATTGCAAAAAAGTGTGAGGGTTCACCGTTAGCAGCTGCGGTGCTTGGGGGCATGCTACTATACAAAGATGCTACAGGATGGGCAGAAGTACTGAACAATGATATATGGGCATTTGACCACATCAGTGAGCCATTCCTCAAGTTGGCATACACTAGCATGCCGCCGAGATTACGGCTATGCTTTGCCTACTGTGCGATGATCCAATATGGTCACACTATAGCTAAAGATGATCTGATTTATCAATGGACTTCTCTCGGTCTTCTTGACCAATCAGACAAATTCTCTATGATACACCTTGGTGAGCAGTATATTGGGATGCTTCTGGACATGTCACTTCTTCAAACAGTGCCGGTCTCGGTGAGTTACTCCACAGTCCACACTATGTTTAAAAGACGTTGGGCTTAATTGGTTTGCTTCCAGTATTTGCTATGCCAAAATAAATTGGCGCTCAATTGTTTACTCCTAAAATTTTAGCATGCCCATACTATTATATCAGATGGCCAAAATAAAATTGGCTTGGCACTGGCAGGACAGCTGGTTAGGTCTTATTGGATGCCGACCCATCACTATTTTATTTTATTTTTTCAAAATTTTAGCATGCCAAAATATTTACCTATGAATTTGGCAGGGCAACTGATTAGAAACGTATTATATTCTCTAACACACTTTATGCTTCTGTTGCAGACTAGTAGAATTGGTGATAAGAGTACATTCTTGTTCACTATGAACAATATGGTGCATAGCATTGCAAAACTATATATGTGTGATATATATGATACAATGGAGACATCTTATGAGCAGGGATTATGCTCTAATAGCGGCTGCCGCTATGTGCTGCTTAACAATTTCAAGTCATCCAGTAAATTATCTGACACCCACATAAGGGCGCTACGTTGTGTGGGTTCTGGTATAAGGGAGCTCATCGATGATTCGTTTTCATTTTCATGGTGCCTTCGTGTCTTGGATTTAAATGACAGATCAATGCTGAACTTACCAGATTCTATCTATCAGTTGAGGCATTTGGGATATCTTAATTTATCAGGCTGCTCTGGACTAGTTATTCTGCCGGAGTCACTTGGAGATCTATTAAATTTGTTGTATATTGATTTATCAGGCTGCTCTGGACTAAGATATCTACCTGAATCATTTGGGAAGCTGATAAATTTGTTGCACATTGAACTATCAAGATGCTCTGGATTTGCAAATTTGCCAGATTCATTAGGGAAGCTGATTAGTTTGAAGCATATCGGTTTATCAAGCTGCTCTGGACTTGTAAATTTGCCAGATTCATTTGGGAGGCTAACTAGTTTGAAGCATATCGATTTATCAGGCTGCTCTGGACTTGTAAATTTGCCAGATTCATTTGGGAAACTGACTAGTTTGAAGCATATCGATTTATCAGGCTGCTCTGGACTAGAAAAACTTCCGCTATCATTCGGGAAGCTAATAAATTTGGTTCACATCAACTTATCACAGTGCTCTGGACTAGTTAGTCTGCCTCCGTCATTTGGGAAGCTAATATATTCGCTGCACATCAACTTTTCAGGCTGCTCTGGGTTGGTAAACTTACCCGAGTCATTTGGGAATCTCATAAATTTGGTGCATATCAACTTGTCAGGCTGCTGTGGGCTATTAAATCTGCCTGAGTCATTTGGTAATCTAATCAATTTGTTGCACATTGATTTATCATGTTGTTATGGACTAGCTAAACTGCCGGAATCATTCGGGAAGCTAAAAAATTTGGTACACCTAGACTTATCTTTCTGGTCTTGTTTTGAAGGGATCGGTAAAGCTCTTGGTGGCCTTACCAATCTCCAGCACTTGAACTTGTCACACCCTTGCTGTTATCTTGCTCAACAGCAGTCATATCTCGAAGAGCTAAAAGATGTTCTGAGCTATCTTACCAAACTAGAGTATTTGAACCTGTCCATGTTCCTGAATCCTATCTTTTACTCACAGTCAGTAGAGCGAACTCTGGAATTTATTGAATGTATCACTGGCTTTTCCAGTCTGGAGCATTTGGATTTGTCTTATAATAGATTTCTCTGTGAACTTCCTGAAAGTTTAGGTGAACTCAACAATCTGCAAACATTGAACCTCTCAGGCTGCATTAGACTGAAGAGCATAGCCAAAAGGATAGGTGAAATCAGGTCTCTCAAGTCAATTGATGTGAGGAACTGCCGCAGTTTGAAAAGCTGTCAGCTTGTGGTTAACGCTGATAACGGAGGAGCATATAGCAGCAGAAACATTGTTCATCTTGAGGATGCAAACTTGGAAGAGCTTGAGATAAGCTGTCTTGAAAACGTGAAGTCTAGTGAAGATGCGGAGCGAATAAGTATGGTACTGAAAAGAAAGGCTCAGAAGTGGAAACTTTGTTGGACTGCGGGCTCCCAAGGATCCATGGAGGTCAACACTCTGTTAGGAGAATTACTGCCACCAGATCTGCAGGGCCTTGAGTTACATGGTTACAATGGCGAGACCTGCCTTTCAACCTGGTTGACATCAACCATATCTTATCGTTTTGATACTCTTGTAGAGGTTACCATTGAGGCCATCTCGAGGTGCAGCCGCCCACCACCACTGTGTTTGTTAGTAAACCTGCGACGAGCAGTTTTTAGAAGGATGGCTAGCATCACAAGATTCGATGTCAATGACCTAACTGATGGAAAACGAAAAACACTCCATCGACTCCCCAAGTTCACCCTAGAGTTAGATGATATGGAAAACCTGGAAGAGTACAAGACCACATACAACAGAAATGGTAAGGAGTATATGCTCCCGGCCATTAGTGAACTGGTGATTACGAAATGCTCCAAGTTGTGCTTCGGACCTTTCATGCCTAGAGCTCGGAGGTTGGTGATCTCAGACTGCAGCAAACTAATGGTCTATTCCAGAGGAGGGCACAGTACCTCTGTTTCAGTAAATGAACTGGTGGTGAATAACTGCAAGGCAGCTCTATATAACTGGAATTTGCTTCACAACCTCCCTGGCCTCCATAGTTTAACTGCCAAAGATTGCGACAATCTGACAACTGTATCAGATACTATTGAGGCCCTATCCTCCCTCCAATCACTATGCTTGTCCAATTGTCGGGTGTTGGACTCACTAGGACAACACTTGCGTGACCTCACCTCTCTCCGGGAACTGAAGATCGAGTCCTGCAATATGTTCAAGGGATTCACGCAGAGTTTGCAAAGACTCACCTCCCTTGGATCAATGCATCTTAGTGACTGCAACAGTCTCATATCACTGCCGGAACAGTTAGGAGATCTCACCAATCTTGAGAAGCTTGCCATCCACAGATGCCCTGCCATTGGTTCTTTGCCTGGCAGCATAAATAAACTAACCAACCTGAAGGATCTGCATATTTTGGACTGTCCAAAACTGAAGGGCTGGTGTGAAAGAGAGGAGAACAAGAAAATAATGGCTCACGTCCGACCAAACTATGAGTATGTACCATATTACCCTTATGTTTCACTTCTTTTCGCAGAGGCAATGCCTCGCTTTCAGTAGTTACCGTTCCCAACTTTCTAGTACTCTGTTGTATGTTCCTTGTGTTCATTCATGCCTTTTATTTCTTGGGTGATGGTGCAGAATTCCTTCACACTAATAGAAGGCCCATCGCTAATCTGTACATTTATTTTAGCTAATCAAAGTGTGTTTGCATTGTTTATTGTGCAGAGAACATGGTACTAGCAGGCCGGGTAGCAAGGACGAGGGCGAGGTGGTGCGTGAATTGAAGGACTGGTCGGACTGCAAGGAGGAGGATGAGGAGGAAGACAATGACGACGACGACGAGGAGGAGGAGGAGGAGGCAGTATTGGCGGGTGCATTGGAAACTTCAGTGGTGACAGACAACAAGGATGTAGGACAGGAGGAGGTGGCGGAGGCAGTATTGACGGGTGCTGTGGAGAATTCCGTGGTGACAGACAGTGAGGATGTTGGAGAGGAGGAGATGGCGGAGGCAGTATTGGCGGGTCCAGTGGAAAATTCAATGGTGACAGACAACACGTATTTTGGACAGGGGGTGGCGGAGGCAGTGTTGACGGATGCAGTGGAGAATTCAGTGGTGGCAGACAACGAGGATGTCATAGAGGAGGAGACGGCGG